GTTTACTTCAAATCTGCTGCTTAGACCAGGAACGCGCAGTGCCCTGGGGGCTGCGGACACGGCCTGCTCTTGAGGCCAGCTCAGGCGATTCCGGACCCTGGGAGCGCGGCCCTGAAATGGGTGCCTGGAGCTGAGCCTGCGTGTGTGGGAGCCGCCGTGTGGGTGGAGTGTTCCAGATTAACCTCCTCTAGAATACAGTGTTATTAAAGCATAAGTACTAAAATGTGCTGATTTGAANCATTAGTAATCATTGTTTTCTTCATCTTTAGTTTTAAACCAATAACTTAAAAAGAAAATGCATTTCAGTTAAAGGCATGATTTTCATTCAGTAAAATAGTTCATGTGTGAAGCAAAACATACACTTAATGAAAAGAAACTACTCCTTGCAGTTTGTGCTGTGTCACTGTTTTAAATTTTAAACACAAAAGGTCCAAGGGCTCACCTGAAGTGACAGAATTAAATCACTTAGTTCTGCGTCGTCCTTTTTGCAGTCCCTGTGCTATCACTGTTTACTTCAAATCTGCTGCTTAGACCAGGAACGCGCAGTGCCCNTGTTATTAAAGCATAAGTACTAAAATGTGCTGATTTGAAGCCTACATGTATGTCATTAGAGCTCCACAGTAACCACAGCAATTATTTAGAACTTAGACCGACAAGCGTTTTTTGGCCGAGGAGGAGTCATTTGTCATTGGCATTGTTTAGAATGCCACTGTGCGGCAAAAATAGAAAGCAGACTGGACCTTTGGTGGGTTTTATGGTTGTTTTTAACATTTCTGGAACAATCCACCCCATTGTGGCCCTGGCTGGACCACTCCCAGCACCCACCTCCATCCGCTACCCTATCATTTCGCCCCATTTGGGAAAATCTCTGGTTCTTGCTGGTCACAGGCACTGCCAAGCGCACACAGAGGTTCCCACCCGCCTCGGCTCCACGCTGTGAGGCCCATCCATCCCCCACGCTGAGTGGGTTAGAGCTGAGAAGGACCCCAGGGAGGTCTGCTTAAACCTTTTAGTCTGCAAAGAAAAATTTTATTTATGGGAGGCTTTTTAAAAAAAAA